CACTGGCCTCTGCGCTGCAGGGGGGACCCCAAAATGGCCCCAGGGGGGTCACCCCAGGTGTCACCCAGTGTCCCCAAGCTGTCACTGTGTCCCCCAGTGCCACCCAGTGTGGCCCCCATGTGTCCCCACATGTCACCCAGTGTCCCCAAACTGTCACCGTGTCCCTGGGTGCCACCCAGTGTGGCCCCCCATGTGTCCCCACGTCACCCAGTGTCCCCAAACTGCCACTGTGTCCCTGGGTGCCACCCAGTGTGGCCCCCATGTGTCCCCATGTGTCACCCAGTGTCCCCAAGCAGTCCCTGTGTGCCACCCACCGTGGCTCTGTCTGTCCCTCTGTCCCCAAGTGTGTCCCCAAGCTGTCCCCACGTGCCACCCAGTGTGTCCCCAAGCTGTCACTGTGGGCCACCCAGTGTGTCCCCAAGTGTCCCCCCTGCCACCCTCCACAGCTCTGTCTGTCCCTCTGTCCCCCCATGCCACCCAGTGACCCCAAGCTGTCCCCACGTGCCACCCAGTGTGTCCCTAAGTTGTTGCTGTGTGCCACCCAGCGTGTCCCCAGTCACTCCTGGTGTCCCCACGTGTCACCCAGCATGTCCCCAGTCTGTCCCTGTGCCCCCATGTGTCACCCAGCGTGTCCCCACGTCACCCATCATGTCCCCAGCCCATCCCTGTGTCCCCACGTCACCCAGCATGTCCCCAGCCTGTCCCTGTGTCCCCACGTCACCCAGTGTGTCCCCAGTCAGTCCCCAGTCCGTCCCTGTGTCCCCATGTGTCACCCAGCATGTCCCCAGCCCGTCCCTGTGTCCCCATGTGTCCCCCAGTGTGGCCCCAGTCCCTCCTGGTGTCCCCACGTCACCCAGCATGTCCCCAGTCCATCCTGGTGTCCCCATGTGTCACCTGTGTCCCCATGTGTCACCCAGTGTGGCCCCAGTCCCTCCTGGTGTCCCCACGTCACCCAGCATGTCCCCAGTCCATCCTGGTGTCCCCATGTGTCACCCAGCATGTCCCCAGTCTGTCCCTGTGTCCCCGTGTGTCACCCACCATGTCCCCGTCCCCTTCCTGTGTCCCTGTGTGTCACCCAGCATGTCCCCAGTCCATCCTGGTGTCCCCATGTGTCCCCCATCGTGTCCCCAGTCCATCCCTGTGTTCCCATGTGTCACCCACCACGTCCCCGTCCTCTTCCTGTGTCCCTGTGTGTCACCCAGCATGTCCCCAGTCCATCCCTGTGTCCCCACGTGTCACCCAGTGTGGCCCCAGTCCCTCCTGGTGTCCCCACATGTCACCCAGCATGTCCCCAGCCCGTCCCTGTGTCCCTACATGTCACCCAGCATGTCCCCCACCCGTCCCCGTGTGACGCCCTCGTCTCCGCCCTCAGTGTCCCCAACCTGTCCCTGTCCCCGGACACGTCAGGGCCACCCCGAGTGCCAAAAGAGTCTCTTTAGTATAAATAAGGGACAGAGCCCGGGTGGCCCCGCGGCGCGGCGGGGAC